AATCGCCGCTAACCGTCCCGTCCCGCTCCCCGCAGTCCCATCAACACACCAAACAATTCAACCGTCCATCTCGCATATCCCTCCACCGCTCACCGCCTCACCGATCACGCCAAGCACAGCAAGTCGCTACGTGCCTCATCTGCTACCGGCCAACACAAGCACTCATACTGCGTAAACAGAAAGCAAGGTACCCTGACTAGCCAACCCCATCACCCAATATGCGCCCCGAAACTCAAAATCATCCTCTTGACTCTTGCTGTCCGTACCATTCGTACACACGAAGTAGTTCTTACTGCGTAGAAGTCGGGGACTTGCCATCCACCCTTTCTTCACCAATCCTTCATCCACAACCACCCCCCCTCCATACATAACCGTCCTCACCAATCCCATCCGTATCCCCTGCAAACCTTGTTCCCTTATACCCTACGCACATATCTAGCGGGGATGGAGATGTCACGAAATCGGAATGTATATGTCAACAAGTCCAAAGGATACCTTTTGTATTCACACACGTATAATCATTGTGTAAAATCCCATTGTGCGGTGGCAGAATATCTTCTCATGTACCTGTAGACAGTATCCGCACTCTTACTTAGTATGGCAGGTATCCATAAGGCAACGAATCCGTTGAGCCTCAATCCACATTACACCTCACGCGAGAATTCCAACGACTTCACTTTACACCCGTCTATAGCCGCAATGGCCCGAAAGTTCCCATCAATCGACACATCACCACGTGCCAAAGACCAAACATCTCATCTCATCCTTTTGAACATCTTCGCCTAGTCTGCCTGGGGAAGGTGATTCAAATTCTCCTTAGTCAAAGACTCAAATTTCACAACACGAAAAAAAACAAAAAAAACAAAGGTTCCCCGCGGTCCTAGCAGATCCCAAAAGTCCCCTCTCAACGTCCAACATCCTTACCGCCTTCCAAATACCCCTTCCAACGTCCGACGCTTCAACCTCAAAGGTCCCAAAGGCTAGAGCCTTCCTTCACCTCCTTCTCAAAAAGGCAGTCGGCAGACACGAACCGAAAAGGAACGATAAGAAGGGACCCCAGTCCCAGCCAAGGAACATCCCAACCTCCTTCTAGAAGGCCACAATGGACGGTTGGGCTCCATACCATCGTGACTGTGTACGAATAGAAAATCAGCAGGAGGGGGGCGGAAGAGAAAAAACAGAGCGTAGAAGGCTCCGCTAAAGAAGCGGGCAGCGCGCAAGGAAATGAGAAATCACCCGCGGATCCCTGCAACGTGGTGTAGACTTACACCCACCGGAGCCCTGTGCAAAGTTCACCTTCAAGTCCTTGCTCTTCTGAACCTCACGCCCCAAGGATTGACCCTAGGGCTTTCCATATCCATACAATGTTAACCGTATTCTTTGGTTGTCAACAAATTGCTTTCCTCAGGCGCCAGAAGAACCTGCAAGGATACTCCTCATCCCCCCTCTTCGGAGCGCCCGCAAGAAGGACCCCTAATCAACCCGAACTGTTCTTGTTGACTGGTTCTCCCTGGAACACCACATGGGAGATTCTAGGACCCCTTGAAATTGTCCCTGGACACGTAACAATATCCATAAAACCCTTAGAAGATGAAGGCCGCAGAAACCGTGAAGACTGACGAGCGGCCGCAAGCCTCGGGGTAGAGCAGCGCAGATACCAACAGTCGTTGCCACAGCCATGTGCAAACGGGCGCACCATCGCGTAACGCGCGACGTCCCGAGCGGATCCCGACGATTTGGTAACATCATCTGCAAGGAGGTGGCAAACTTTTCCCGCACTGGGCTGCAGCCAGTGAGCCATAGAAGAACATGCTCACTCAGTGCGAAGTATCCGTACAATTACAGATATTCTGGAGACTGGAGAACGCTCTAGAGTCGGGGGCACTGGGGCTCTATCCGTGAACCGCGTAACCGATCGGACGAGAGTGGGAATTTCCGCATTCCACATTCTCTTTGGGCAAAGTTCGGTGGCATCAATGGCTGCCAACTGCCGAGGCGTGGCGGCCCCCGAGCGCACAAGCGCACAAAGTGGAATTATCGACCTGGCGGTTTTGGTGTCTGTTCAGTATCTATGGATACAGCCTGCGACCTGCCTTTGCGCTCCCGAATCCCGTAGGCTGGCGGCTGCTCCAATTCGGGCTTCGCTTGTCTCTCGGACATGGAGCTGTCAAAATGTCAGTAGTTTAAGCCCGTGTGGGTGCTACTACTGGAAAAATAAAGACTAGATACTCCGTAGTTCCGAAAATATGAATCAAAATGGCCCCCACCACTAAGTAGCGCAGGGCATCGTCGTCCGACAAGTCCGATAATATGTCGGGCCGCCGACACGAAGCGAGCGCGACATTGCAAAAGAAGGCAGAGAAAACATTCCAATTGTGAGCCACGTCTTCTTCGGCTTGGCCGCGTCTGCCGTTCTACTGCGGTGAGTGATGGTCCGCAGCCCAACCTCAATTTCTCGAGACTTCTGCCACCTGTGGCCGACCCGCGAGTGTGACTTGACCGCCTGTCTGCCCACCCCGGTCATATTGTCGCAATTTCGCACGCTCAATCCGTACGTTTGCTCCAGCAGTAGCAACAGCAGCCAGCAGTCCTTTGAAGGCGGTCAGCAGTCTGTCTGGCAGTTGCTGCGCACCCACCTAACTTTGCTCCAAATATCCATAAGCATTGGGGTTAGGTCTCTATGCATCGGTGCGTTTGTGACCCCTGCTCGTGCAACGTGTTCCTGGGCTTTACTGCTTGCCCTGCATAAAGTATGTGGGAAACTCATTACTCCAACCTCCGCCAGTGAATGCTTGTAAGAATATTTGTTCAATATGTGATGTGAGATTGGGCTCTGCAACTAAAAACAATAAGCCCCAGTAGGGCGTGCCTATGCTCCTCATACCGATTCTGATGCCGTATTGTTTGATTCCCATGTTCCCATCCACGCATGTTGGGAATTGTCGCTGCGCCATAATAAATCAACCTTTGGCGGCAGTACCTTCCTAATCCAAAAACTCCGTCTCTCCTGCGTCGTCGCTGTCCTCTCGCATTTCGCATGCATAGATAAGAAAAGAAAAAAGAAAGAAAAAACGCCTTCCCAGCCTTGTTCTCTTTCCGCTGTGTGTTGTGCGTGCGCTATCCCTGAGTCATGTTGCCACGTCCCCGTTTGCTCATTTTGGCGTCACAACTTGGCCTGCATTTCACATGCGAGGGCCGAGTCAATGTCCCGCCAGGGGATGGGCTGTTGGCGTGGGGGGAAACTCTTGCTGGGGCCGGATCCGATGAAGAGTCCCCGCAGGTTGCGCCCTCCGAGTTCGTGCCGCGTGTGAGGTGTGGATTTGTCCTCCGAGTGGATATCAGCGAACCCACGGATTTCGGGTCCTTGGGAGGGTTTGTCCTCGGGTTCTTGACCGAGTCCAGTATCGAAGGAAATAACCGGAAGAGCGAAGGGAAAATCGAGAAGGGTGGGAAGAAAGTTGATAAGAAAAAAAAAAAAAAAAATTGATAATATGCATGCGCCTCAAATGCTCATGATCCCAGTCCGTCGCTATGCATGTGGTGTCGAATCAAATGAAAATCAAAAGTGCTGTGAGTGGTGGCCTGGTCCTTTGGCTCACCCGGGTGAGAGAGAGTATGTGTTGTGCCGGAGGCTTTGCGGCGTGCGTTATGCTGAGTTGGAGGTGAAATGTGACCCCACGTCGCTGCCCAGTCATGGCCCCGCATCTCCCAAGCTCACTCGCTATGAGGAAACTCGGAGGTGCTCGTCGCATGTCGGTGGCATCAGGCCATGCTCTCGGAACCGGGCCGTGTAGATACGGACGCTTGGCTGTGTACCTTATGCTGTGTGCGCTTGTGCGCGAAGGGTGTGTCGGACGTGTGTCCACCAATTCTGTCGTTCGAGAACCCTTTCCAAACCCGTTTCTTTCGGAAGGCAAGTTTCTTGCCAACGCATCTCGCGTCCGTCGTTTTTCTTGGATTGCTCCGTCCTTCCCCTGTTTCTTTTATACGCCTCGGATGACTCACCCAGACTGCCAGGTCCAGCTCTCATAGGGCCTCGCGGTCCGCTCCCCTCAGTCGGTGATACTCGCTTCTAGGAAAGTCGACAAAAACAGCAGGTAGTGTTGACCCGCAAAAAGGTGTGCGTGCTCATTTCGAAAAAAGCGTGCCGTCGGCCGTCGGCCATCAAAAAGTTCCTCGCCCGCAGGCGGCAGGCGGTAGGCGAAATGCAAAAGTGCCTCTGGCTATTACCAAACGGTAAGGTAAGAGCATGTAAAAAAGGCCCGCAGATCGACTCCTTCTAGAAGCGCAAGAAGGAATCAAAGGGAAAAAAAAATTAAAATCTTGGAGGGCGCTAGCCAGTCGTGCCAGTTCCAGCGTAACAGCGTCTCTCTTTCGTCTTGGGTGCCCCGGACGGCGTCTTGGACGCTTCGGGCAGAAAATGGAGCCCTCGTCTCGGTACTCTGACCAAAGACCGACAGGGAAACCACAGTGCCAGACGCGCGATGATGCTGACCATTCCGCGATATCGGATAAGGCAGGCACTTAATGTCTGGCACCTTGTTGCGTGGGAATGCGGGCCCCAACGCTTCCCCGTAAATTAGCGCCTCGGGGGGCCCTGCTGAATGACGATTCCACCCGGCAGTGACGGTGCAATCAGGGCAAGCCCACAGCATGTCGCAGAACCCCGACCCTCCCACTTCTTGCTTTCTGCCCTTCTCCGCGGACAACGCCGTCGTAGTGCTGCACTTCGCGGGAGGGGGGATGCGCTATGCCATGGAACAAGCCACACCCATCGCAAGAGAAAAAAAAAAAAACAAGCTTGTCGTCGGCCATGGATGATGGGACCTCGACCCTCGTAGGATTGTGACGTGCTCAAGCCGTGGAGTCTGTCCACGCTGCGGCATCGGTACGCATTGTGTTGCATCTCTCTTTTCTCTGAGAGTGGACTGTGTCGGGTTGATGCGATAGAGGGCAGATAGGTAGTCGGTTGATGTACCAAGCTCGCATGACACTTTTCTTCAATGCGACACTGGAATCCATCGTGCTGGGACGCCGTCGCTACCCACATCGTAGGGGCGTACGCTTGCCTTGCGCGGCGGTAACGCCCAGCGAGCGCGGCCTGGTCGTTGGTCGTCGAGCTTGCCCTGCTTGCGCATCGCCATCTCCATGACTGCGATACGAATGAAGTCCGAGTTCTCCCGCATCTCTCGCTGACGCATGCCTCCCGGAGGATACGTGAATGCGGTCTGGGTCGGAGATTGTGCTGGGGGCTGATAAGGCGTTGACTGAGTCGTGACCGCCGATGTCGCCGGGGAGGGGCTCCGAGTTGATGTGGGTGTTGCACTACGGCTTTTCTGAACCTTGTATGTTTGCATCTGGATAGACGCAGTAAAGCTTCGCGTGCCCGTCGGCGTAGGGGCCGCTACAGGGTGGGGCTCAATTCGAGCGTTTGTCGTGGGGTTCAGATATCGGCGCAACGCAGCCGACGGCTCCTCCTCGAGTACTGGTGGCCGCCGCTCGTCCGTGTAAGGAACCTTGGGGTCGATGGTGAGAATGGATCTCGTGAGGAAGTCGTCGGGCGGAATAGACGAAAAGTTGATGGCTGAGATGGATCGTGCAGCCGAGCGCAGGGCGCGGAGCGATGCAGTCAGGTTGGACTTGAACGCTGACTTGAGAGGGCGCAGCGGGAAAGTGTAGTCAGAGAAGGAGAACTCTGACTTGGTGTCCTCTTCATCCTGAGACTCGTCGAATACTCTAAAGTCAATCTCGTCAACGCTGACCCGGTCGCGGGATAACGGGTGGTCCTCGGGCTGGCCGGGAGGAGATGAAATGGGCTCCAGCGAACGCCTGGGTTGGCGGGAGCGCTTCCTTCGCGGGCTGGATCCATAAGGTGACTCAACCGACGACAGTGTGTCGGTGGAAAAGGAATCGCCTAGGGAGGGAACTGATTCTACAGAGACAGTTCTGGTGGATAATACGGAACCAAGACCGCTGTCGCTAACTGACATGTCATCGTCTGTCAGGTCGTCGGGTGGCGACAACAGCAAGTCTAGGGGGCTCTTGCCAAAAGTGAGACTAAGTTCCTTTTCACAAACTTGCTGTCTCTCGATAACGGCTTCCAGAGTCATTGCCTGGTCTCTGGATAGCCTCTGCCTCAAGCTGCGTCGGGGTCGGGGAATGTCAGTGACGGCTAACAAGGCCAGCATGGCAGGCGGAACAGCGTCCGGTGAGTGGACATCCCTCGGCCGGGAGGGCTTCCGATGCGCATGGCGGTTGGAGGTGTAAAACGGGGTTGCCTTTGATTTTGAAGGAATCTGAACAGGCGTAGTCGGGGTCGTCGGCCTGGTGTTTACGCTTGTTGTTGTCCGGGGAGGGCTCGAAGGCGCCAACTTAGAAGTTTCGCGGCGAGCATCCTTCCTTTTGGCCATGGTAGCTGAGGTGGTAATGGGAGAAGTAGGGATAGGCGTGAGGGTGACGGACACGTTCTGAGCATCCTTTTTCCGATCCAGTAGAGCAGAAGGCAAAGCCGTTCTGGGGATGTTGACGGGAGTGGTTGTTGTCGTCTTCGTCGTAGCAGCGGCAGCAGTGGTAGTGGTAGTAGTAGTAGTTGATCTCGAGTTGGCGGCGAAGCTGTTGTTGGTCGATTTGCGCGTGAGACTTGAAGGGGAGGGAGAAAATGGTGGAGGGGTGGTCGAGGCCGAGGGCTGCCTATTGTAGTAAAGGAAACTCCTTGGGGACATCATGGCGGCGTCTGGACATGCCCTGGTGCGCCAGTGGCTCGGCGGGGCAAGCCGGACCCGACAGGCAAGACAGGTTGACAGGGAAGGGGTGTGGAAGGGGACCAGACCAGGCACAAGTGCGCACGAGCACAACCACAACCACAACCAGCTCGGTGCCGCAGTGCGTTGGGCAGGGGAGGAGGGTGTAACTCAGGGTGTGGTGCTGTAACCGGGACTGGGCCTGGCAGGGCAGGTCAATAGCAAAAGCAAGCGGGCTGCTGCGGGCTCAATCTTGACTGTTCAGCATAAACCCCAGCGGGCCAAGCTAAGCAAGAGATGGGTTGGGTCGACCAGTGGAGTTGCGTGGGCACGACGGGCTGGTGGTTCAGACACCACAGACCAAACCAGTGGATTCACTGGACTTGACTGGATGTATTTCGTACAGGCCGCACAGTGTTGGTGCAGCTGAGGGCGAGAGTACTGTGCTGTACTCGGTGGACCGTAGACGAAGTAGGGATACCTACACGATTAGGGGACCAGTTCGGCCAGAATCTTTGGCGTTGAACGGACGTGCTCGTCTGGCCTTTGGCTTTCTGCCTTTTCTCCAGCGCGTGTACTGTAACCTCTTTTGGTCGCTGCTTGAGTGTGTCGTGTGCCGGGGACAGGGGTCGTCGATGTTTTGGTAACGTAAAGTTAACCGTCTCGCAGCTAATCAGCGTTGAGGCTTTGTATAGTCCTTCTCCAACAGGAATCGCGACGGAACTTTCAAGGGCAATGATTGCTGGGACGTGACGCAGCGGAGCACGGGGCCGAAAGGCTTGTATCGTGTACTGCGATGTGATGCGTGGTTCCTGGTGGTATTCAGACCCGGCTTTTGACTGGAGCTGCAGACGAGGCGAGGGATCGAGAAGCAAGGAGGCGGGTTGGGAGAATGTTGCTTGCTGCCCTTGCAGATACAGTGACAACGTCGGATTTGGGTTGGGTTTGTGTGTACCGGTAGTGTCGATGCGAAGTGCGGTTTGTCACTTGTCTTGTGCTTGAATAGAGTGTGGAGAGTCAAGTGCGCGCGAGTCGGGTACTTCGTCAGAGGTTAAGAGGTGACGATGATCGACCGTGTGGAGGATGCTATTATCGATTTACACCACAGGGAAAGGCCTGGCGGTGACTTAGGGTATTGATGCCTTTGTCCTTGGAGTTGGAAGGATACGATATGGTGAACCGTCACGAGGAGGAATTCGAGACTCGAGGTGACGATCTTGTCTATTAGTATTAGGTACGATTAGTCGGAGGTTCGTCTCGGGAAGGCAGAGCCTGGAGTTCTGTGATGGCCGGAATCCGGGGTTATCGGGGCAGATGTTGGACTTGGGAGAGAAAGGTTACTGGTTCGGTATCCGTATCCGTTGCGCAGTGTCTTGGCCGAGGAGGAGAGATGACGACAGTCGGCGAGTTGACGAGTGGCGAAGTGAGGAAGCGAGAGAGAGAGCGACTCGCGTAGTTGGCAGCCCAGTCGCAGTTGGGAGGTTGAGAATGGCTTCTACCAAGAAGCCGGCACAAGATGGGAGGCTCTCTGGTTTTAGGTGGCCAAGCACAGAAAGGTTATCAGACTGGATCCAAGTTGCCCTGACTGATTACGGATACTACAGATATGTCACTTCATCGAGGTAATGGAAGCACACGGAACTTGGAAAGGCAGCGAGCGAGCAGCAGATGGGCCGTGGACTGGGGCAAGCACTGATGCTCTGACACTGATAACCCTGATACGAGGGGGGGGGGGGCAAGATGGGAGGCCAGAGATAAGGAATCGACGGGCAAGGTGCCGAGGGTGTGTCGTGGTGTGTCGTGGTGTGTCGACAGTCGTGGAGCGTGGTGTGGTGTCTCGTCTGCCCTGCCCAGGCTGGACAACTCAGCACGGGGCAGTCGCCAGTCACTCACTCAGTCCCGGCAGAGAAGGAGGTCAATCGTAAAAAAGGCTGAATGACTAGAGGCACGGGGGGCAAGAGGCAAAGCAATGGAAGGCAGAGTGAGGCACGCCGCATCTCTGGGAAAGGGCAACGACCTCACACCACAGTCTCAGCTGAGGGAGGACACTTCCATCCAGAGGTAGGTACCGGTAGACATGTTCTTTCCTTCTTGTCCCATTTTCTCTTTCCGTCTCTTCCCCTGCCTTCTGCCTAAGGGTATCTGTAAAACCTAGGGAGAAGGTCCAGTCTAGCTAGGTACCTTACGTGGTGACATGGCAACTTGGGAAGGCAGCAAGTCAGGTATTGGATGGAGGTACTTGCAATATCGGCCCAACCTGAAGGAAGAAGGAAGGAGGTGCGCCCTGCCTCGTTTGCTCCCTCCCGGCTGTCTGCCTGCCCGATTTGGAGATGTGTCTGTTCGTACCCAGTCACCAAAGAAAGCAAGACCAAACAACCAAACGAAGGATGGGCGCACCGCCGCACAGGCCCGGCTGAGTACCTACACACCTACCTTACTCCGCGTAGCCCGTAGGTACATTGAGGAAGGCAATAAGGAGACTCGGGGAGGGTTCACTTTCCAATCCTATTGTCACCGTGTCACGTTTATTACCTTAGGTAGGTTGTGCACGAAGCAAAATCACTGATAAGAAAGAACCTCCAAAGCCTCCAATCCCCTTCCCCCCATGTCCGTTCCTCCCCCTTCCCACCGGCTACTGGCACAGCGCGTCACCTCTCACCCGCATGTTTTGGGCTTAGAGTTTGGGGTGACATGAGATTTTGGGGGTCCAAGATGGCCAAGGGCTCAAGGGGGAACAGAGCACGGGGGAATGGAGACCACGGGGGTCACTTTGTCTCTCTCTCCCGTTTCCATGTCTCTCCGTCAGAGTCTCACTCCGATACCTGAATCCAAGTGTCACGCGCCAGACTTCCAAGCCCTGACTGCAACCCCAGTCCAAGGTTCTCCGTACCTACGGATATTCCTCCAACAATAATCTAGAAATTCCGTCCATGAATACCTTCTTATTACTTACAACTTGCAATTGCACATTCCGGGCAATGCCCGAGATCCATCTCGCTGTAACAATTAGAGGACATGACCGACGGCCACTGGCAAGCACGGAGCCCTCCTCCCTCCATGCGCTAAATGACACACGCTCCACAGGCTTGAATCGACCCCTTTGCGCCCATCAGTGGCTCTGGAACAGTGGCAGATGGGAACCAGCCCGTCATAATAGTGGACTCATTTGATGAGTCTAGCGAGCATGGTTCAAGACAATCAAGACAATCCCACGACTCTTCAGCAGGGTCTCACTGTGAGAGTGCCCGGCTGACCCGATCATAGGTGGCCCTTGTCGACGGTTGTGGAAATGGCGGACCGCCACTCGCTCCCTGGATATGGGCCAATGAGAGCGACGGGATTGCTTCGGGGGTAAGAGAGGAATCAATCACCTTATGTAAGACGCAGGACCACATTCAGTCAATACACGGTAAGAGTGTGCAAATGTCAAGCTCAAGGCAGAGTGGGTGGTGACGACGGTACTTTGCAGACCCGTTTATTTCCCACTTCCTGGCTCGCTGTTCCTGCCTGCGCTACGCTGCACACTTCAAACTGTTTGCCTCCACACTGCGTGACTGCCTGCCTCCAAAAGGCCTCCAAAAGCTGGCCACTGGTTGGAAGGCGGAGTCTGGCAGTTCAGCTAAGGTGGAAGGTCCAGCCTTGCTATGCAACGTGCATAAGCTGTCCCTGCCAATTTATGCGCATCGGCTCGTTTATGCGAGTCCAATCAGTGGACATCTAATCATGTACCTAGGTACCTTACCTTCCATGCATTCAACTTCAACCTGTCGTGTGCCTCGTGCTTCTCCTTCTTATCAGCGCCCACCAAACACCACAAGCCACCATCCCTCCCCTCATCGACACTTTCGTCCCATCAATGATCTCCCCCCATCTTGTCTGACCATCTCAGGCGCCAATTGCACATCTTTCCGAAAGCCCTCCGTGACACCTCCATCTGGACCGCAGGTCCCGGCCGACCGAACCAGTGTGAATAATTTACACAGTAGCGTGCCTAGCAGCTGCCGTGTATGTGTCGCTGCCCTGAGCTGACCAAAAGCCTAGATATCAAACACTGATCGTGTGTTGAGGTTGCTAATTCTTGTGACCATTTCCAGATCTCGGCCCTGGGCTCCGAAGAACGCTGGGGAAGCCAGATGCACCGGAACTTCCGTTCTAACGTGAAGACTAATATCGCGCCTGGAATTTCGGACGGAGCTCAGCCCGAGAGCCAATGCTCATATCATCAGCCCCGGTTGTCGGAGTTTTCATCTCTCTAGTCGCAGGCCTCAGCAACGTCCAGTCCTTGGCTTTCTTCTCGGCCTTCTCCGACCCCAGGTTATTGCTGAGCCGTGGGACGGTGCGTTACTTCCTCGCTCCTCCACCAGCTTGCAGACATCCCCAACCATTGCCTTTTGCTCCTCTCCATTTCTCCAACCCCTGTCGACCTATGCCATTCCCTCTCATCGACGAGACAGGCAGGCGAACGGAGAGCAACCTTCGACCGTCTGCCACCAGGCTAGCCGTAGCGCCATTCCCAACTCGCTTTCCGTCCCCATCCGCTCTGATGGTCGCCCAATTGCCCAGGCCCCATGTCGCCCGTTCGTCTGCTTGATCCAATAGCACTTGGCCGGAGCTTGTCGATAGTCCTCGGGGCACCGATACGGGATCCCACCCGTGCGACGGCCTACGTC